CCTCCCCTATTCCACACGTATTGTCTGAGCGTCGATGAAGAGGACTTGTATTTTTTCATTAGAATCAACAAGTGGGTGTCGAAATATATCTACCATCTTGCATGAGATGGGATGTCTTGTATGATAGCTGAGCTTGCATTTCATTTCGAATGAAGAACTTGGTGAAAAGACTTGCAAGTTGATCTCACCCGAAGACGACGGCAGATTCCTTTTGACCAGCCGTCGATTGGCTCTACCGGAACATTCTTAATGAAGCTGCTTCCGAGGCTTTCGTCCGTCGAATGACGGGCACCATCAAGACAGGGAGGGTATCAACCTTACAACCATATTCAAGCTAAGGATTCAAGAAAACTCAGCGGCTCACCCTTAAAGGCTTTTATATATATAAACCTAAATCGAAGCTTTGATGGGGTATAAAGTGATTCATTGAATACAATTCATATGTCAGCCTCAAGTGTGTCTGTCTGCGTGTATAAACGTCTGTATGTGTTCATATATGCCAGAAACCAGCACTGATAGCTCAAAGTTATTAGAACTGAAATCGTAGCGTCTATTCTCGGCCATCAGGGTTTGATGACCAGCATCACAATCAGCTAGATTGCTCAAGGCCATCATACCTTGGTGATCGAGGACAGAGCTTCGAGACTATTCGTAAATCAGGTATATGAGAAGTAATCACCCTATTTCGTTTAAAGCGATGAAGGACTGGTAGTAGAATTTTCCTACAACGATATGAGTAGAACTGATGTTTCCATTAAATTTCACATAACTTCGCTCTTCCAAAAGTTGCTCTCATCCAAGTTGGACTGCAGTTTCGATCTTGCCTCAGTCTTATCAACACCCCCAGCGGGAGTCGAACCATGGCAGTGCAGAATGGGAGCTTGACACGACCACATCGCCACGGGTCACAGAGAAGGTTTAAATTTCCCATACCACAATCTTTGTTGAGATTGTTGATGAAGTAAACGTTTTTTGCTATAAAAATCGACTAAATTACTTATTTTTCGTATATAAGTAGAGTTTCGAGGCTACCAATAAATCAGGTATATGAGATGTATTCACCCTAGTTCGTTTAAGGTGATTAAGGACTGGTAATGAAATTTTCCTACAATGATATGGGTAGAGCTGTAGCTTCCATTGAATTTCACATGGCCTTGAGTTACTGGTAGTTTCGAAACCCTAATTGTAAGCTAAAAATAAGTAATGTTGTCGATTGCCACAGCTTCGCACGTTATCACTGAAATCGAAGAAGATTTTCTCGGAACCTGCATTAACAAGAATCTTTCAGTAAAGCTAATCGACGGCTGGTCAAGAGAAATTTGTCTTCGTCTTCTGGTAGGATGTTCCTTCGAATCTTTTCACGAAAGACTTTCGCTCGAAATAGAAGTAAACTGAAACAATTATGAACCAAAGGATTTCTCGAAACCCGACTTTTCTTGGCATATAGTATGCAATAAAGTTTTCAGATTTGCACTTTATTAGCGAATTTTTGTATTGTCAGGTTAGCTGTTTTCTGGATCACTTGTAAATATTATAGAAAAGGTGAAATTCATACTTTGGAAAACGAATAAAAGTAGATGAGTTAATGAATGCAATCATGTTGCTGAGAGATGATTCATTAGGACCTGGTAGAAAGCAGTGAAACGATGCCATTTTATTGCACAGCCGGACAGCCGAGCGTATCTCCAAGCTTCATATCGCTTTAATTGAGGCTGCAGCTTTGGTGATTAATAAGGCTTCTTCTGAATTGCCTGGCGTCCCTTTGAACACTTGTTGGGAAGCCAGTTTGTCCAAAAAATGATCGTCCATTTGATTGAGTTTGTTGATATTTCGAATGGCCATAGCTACTGCCGCCTGCAGTTCAACGTCGGCCGAGCCGATCATCTTCAGTAGCACTTTGCTGATTCCCGCCTCGTAGATGTGCCGAGCCACCTTCGGGCTTCGACTGAGCACGCAAAAGGCGCGTATCGTCTCGGCAAGCGTTTCCCGATTCGTCGTCTTCAGGTAGCCCAAAAGGTATTGAATGTTCTTAGGCCGGCCGAGGACTTCGGTATTGCTGCCGTAGACGGCGCAGCTGGAGATGGCGGAAGCTAATGCGGCTTTCATTTGGTCGGTTTCGGCGCGCGGAATCAACTGCTCAATGAGTCCGAGGACGCCGAGATCGGTGAGCACCGCCAGACAGCGTGGATTCTTGGCGACTTCAGCGATGACGCAACAGGTCGCGTGTTCTGCGTCCTGGTCTTTGGCGTTGCTTCGGCACAGGTTGACGAGGTCGTGGAGGAAGCCGATCAGCGGTTTGAGGAGACGACCTGTCTCCTGATTGCGTCGAACGCAGCTGTGCAGAGCTCGGATTGCGGCAATCCGAGTCGTGTGGTGCCCCTTGCTGGCGTGCAGAGCGAGCAGTCGAAGACCGTCGAGTTGGCAGAACTGCGAGAGCACCGTGGGCTCTTGCATCAACTCGATGAGGCTGTTGCAGACCGAGGCCACCAGACAACTGGGACCCTGACGCAGTAGCATTGTGAAGA